CTTTTGGGATCTCCACCTTCCCGTAACACAGTGCAGGTGGATTCGGGCTAAAACACAACTGGGTTTCTCCCCAGGGCCCACAGGTCACAAAGTAATCACAGTGGGAGGCTACTGCAGCCAGGTGGTGGATGGCTCCTCCAGGGAGCACATCAAGAAAGCTCAGCCTTGCTCTCAGGGTTGACAACCAGGCTCTTGTGTCACTTCTAGGTGAAAAAACAACTAGAAAAGGAAGCCATAAATGGCAAGGGCAGGAAAAAAAAAAAAAAGTGGTGTGTGTGCCTGCATACGTGCACGGGGAGGGGAGATGCTCACCTGCGCTCAAGGCACGTGGGACCTCTTCCATGGTGACTCCGGTGGAGGGGGTGCTTTTGCCATCGGCTGTGTCCTCGGTGGGGCTGGCCACAGTCACTGAGGGGGACGTTGGCTCCGTGGCCAGGCTTGATGCCACGGCCATCGTCCCTGGGGAAGGGACAGTCTTCATCGGCACTGGTGACTGGGTGGTGCTGCTGGGGACGGTCGGTGGGGACAACACCGTCCCAGGGGATGAGTATGGGGTGCTGCTGCGTGGGGAGGAAGAGAAGGGTGTAGGTGTGGCCGTGGGGCTGGGAGGTGTCCCCAAATCCGTCGTCCCTCCCTCCACGCTGGCATTATGCACTGTCCGAGGACTTGGGGCTGTCTCCAAGGCCGGTGGCACCGAGCTGAAGGCTACGGGGGGGTTGTCCGCTGCAGCGACAGTGCTTGTGGGGATGGAAGCAGGGGACAACATGGCCACAGTGCCCCCATTGGGGTCATCCACCTCAGCTGGCCCGGAGGACACCTCATCTCTGGTGGGTCCCGTGGCAGTCGGTGGTGTAGGCTGGTGGGGAGCTGCTGCAGGGACAGCTGTGCCCCCCGAGCCCGGCCCCGCTGCTGTCCCCACCACTTCTGGGGGGGTGCTGGCGGGGGCAAGGGGTGAAGCTGTGGGGTCATCACCAAGTCCTGGGAGGGAGAAAAAGGAGGGTTAGTAAGGGAGACATCCTTGTGGCAGCTGGCACCTTGTGCGCTTGTCACAACTCCCAGGAACCCAAAGCCAGCTGAAATCCCCCTTTAGGAGCAGACAGGGAGGGAAAGGAGGATTTCTTCCTGCTCTCGTTCCTAGGCCATGGGGTAGAGGGTCCCAGCACCCTGGGACTCCCCATCCCATGCATCCCAACCCACCCCCTGCAGGGCTCAGCACCCCCTAGCCCAGGCTGGCGGCCCCATCCCCGCTGCCCCTCCAGCAGGCACCACGCAGCTGGGAGCGATAACACAGGGCAGCTTTCTTCTCCCCCATTTCCTTGTGCATTCATTCATCGCCATTTCTTCGCATGAAGATGAGTCATTCTTTCCCCTGTCCCCACCAGTGACTGCTATTTTTTCTCCCTCCTGCTCTCTCCAGAGAGAAGCTCAGCTCCAGGCGGTCCCCAGCAGCTCCCCGGGCACAGCCAGGCTGCGGGAAGGGCATGCCAACAACAAGTGACGTCGGGAGGAATTTCTATTCCCATGCACTCTTATGTACACCCCCTGAGCACCTTGTCATGGGGCTATGTGAGAAAGGAGGAAAACAATCTCAAGACAACACCGATTTTCGTTGCTGCCCTGAAAGCCGCTTCCCCCAAAGCCCCTCGCTGGTGGCACCCAGGAGAGCAGGCTCCAAATCCCAGTGCTGAAGGGGAGGTGGGAGCACTTGGAGGCATGTTGAGGATTGATGTTGATTTTCCCTTTATAGCCTTTCTTTTTTTTCTTTTTTTTTTATTTTTGGTACAGGAACACTGCTATCCTCCATTTCTCCTCCCTTGACCAGGTTCAAGCACTCCCGCAGTCTTCCCAAGACTCACTTGGCGGGAGGAACACGAAGGAGATCAAAGGCGAGGGAAAGGAGGTGTTTTGGGGTGGCCTTTTCCTTCTTTAACGGGAAGCGGGCACAGGTTCCTGGCAGGGGGCACCCGCAGCCCCCCGCTGCCTCCATGGGGAGCACTGAGCACCTCTCCCAGGCAGGCAGCAGGAGGGCACCGGGAGCTGTGCCACCACCAGGCCTCGCCCCCCCAGTGCAGGCAGCGTTAACTCCAAACTCAAAATCACACCAGCAGGCACCTAAACCTCTGCAAAGGGAAGTGCAGAGCTCGCACCCAGCATTTTGGGGGCCCGGGATGTAGAGGTGGCCACGCCGGGGCAGGAAGCAGCTCCGGGTGGACGTGCTGCCGGCCTGCACCACGCGTCCTCCAGCCCTGGGGCTCTCGAGGTCAGGCTTGGCCCTGCACCTCAGTGGCTTTGAAGTAAGGCTGCCCTCGGACGTCCCGGGGCACGTCAGCCGGGTGTGACTGGCCCAGCAGGTTACAGGCCATCATCACAGCCTGTAGCAGGGCGTCTTGCTGCTCCACCAGGTGTGGCAGGACCCCAGAGGGCTGCCAGGCCTCTGCGAGACCTCGCTGACCCTCTGCGAAACCTCCCTGGGATCCCGTGCTGCCTGCTTGAAGCCTCACCCTAAATGTCCCAGCCCTGCACCACCATCGCCATGGGACCCTGAGCTCCAGCCTGGCCACTGCCACCTCGGGTCACAACACATCAGGCTGTCCTCTCCTCCAGCCTAGAAAAGGGGTCCCACCAGCAATACAGGCTGCTCCTGAGCCTCGGGTCCTGCGGGGACCCCGCATAGCATCCCTGGCTGAGGGCCCCACGTGCCACCACATCCTGCTCAGGACAGCCTGTACCCACAGGGCTGGGAGGTCAGCAGCAAGCCGGGTCCTCTACGAGCACATCTGAAAAGGTGAAGGACTGCTGAGGCAGTGGGTCCCTCGTCCTCCCAGCACCTGGGCTGCGGCTGGGAGCAGTAGCCAGAAGAGTGCACTGGAACAAAAGATAGAAAAACACCAGAAATCTGCCTTCAGGACCACATGACATCAGGAGCTAGGAGGCAGGCAGGGTTGTCAAAGCAACTGAAGGACATCAGTTATCAAAGGATACCGAGCATAGTTCAGCGCCGAGGAATGTGCCCATCTGATTCCCTTAGGGCCATCCTGCCCTGCTGGACCTGGCTGGGAGCAGGGCTGGATGCGGAGCTGCCAGGATGAGGCACATTGCCTGGTGCCATCCTTTCTGCCCAGTTTAGAGCCCTGTGGGGGCTTTGCATGGGTTGAAGATGGAAATAGGAGAGAAAAATCCAAATCCCTGTAGTGCAGATATCCTCCCTTTCAAGATCATCAGTGCCAGTCATCTGGGAAACCCCGGGTATACCACCTAGTGCACGGAGCAGCTCCCTCTCCTGCGGGCATGCTGTTGTCCTGGTTCCTGCACGTCACATGAAGGTGATGTCTCACTTCCATGCCCTGCTTTGGGAACACATACCTGGCCTGGGCTGGGAGCTTCATTAGCAGCACATTGCTCAGAGCCACTCCAGAGGCAAGCGTGGCAAGCTGTTCGGCTGTTACACCGGCTGAGAGGCAGCACAAAAGAGAGGAGCTCCAGCCCAGGAAAACAGAGCTGGATGTGGCAGCCGTGCCACGGCAAGCAGGTAGTCCTCACCTACGTGGGGAATACAGCAGTGCTCTCACCCTGGGTTAACCCCAGCGGTCCCCAGCCATCGCGTTTGCTGCGTGTCTCCTTCAGGAGACAAGTGAGAGCAGCATAGGGAATGGTGCACCTTATCCTGACTCTGCCACCCTCCACGGTCCCCATCCCCTCGTGAGTCCCTGTGGCGGCACCACCTGGGTGCTGAGCCTCGCCTCCTTCGCAGACCTTGCCCTCTGCGTCAGCTGGGCCGGCAAGGCTGCGAGCACTCTAATTTGCCTCCTGAGCAAGAAGTCAGAGGTATGACAAACTTCCTCCTTCCTCTCAAACGCTGTGCAAGGGATGCTATTATTTCATTACAGGGCCAAGAAAAGCACGGAGTTATTCCTGCCAAGCTGCATCCTCTCTGTCATGAAGCCCTGAAGAATGAACATTTAAATCATACATTTAAATGAACGTTTAAATCATTTAAATGCACATTTAAATCATGCATTGATGCCAAAAGACTTTTTCTTGTAAATGCTGCTCCGGTGGAGAAAAATTATAGAAAACACCCAAAAGATCCAAGCCCTTGATGGAAGCATCCCAAAAGCTGCGGGGCCAAAATCCTAGGAAATATTCCTGGGTTCTTCCACGGGGGCCCTGCCAGTGCTGCAGAGCTGGGTGCTGGTGGGAATGGTGCCGGATCTGTCCTGGGCACTGGGAGAAACAGCTCCCAGTGGGCACGGGAGGGATGCTTGGCTGGGGGGAGATGTCCCAGGAGCAGCTGATGTGCTCTGAGCCCTCTGGTCCCCTCGCAGGTCTCCCTTTGCCGGGGATGCACGGCGTGCACAAATGGCTGAGAGCGTTCCCGTGCTTGTTTCCTCCCCCCTCACTTTCCAGCCATAAAAATAAACTAAAAGCCGGGCAGGCTGAACGCTTCTGAGGCTGAACCGGGGGCGATGTGCCCAACACCTTGCACAGTGGGGTCCCCTCGTGCAGTGGGTGATTGCCCCCGGATCCCACCGAGCGGGGCACAGCCTCTGGCTGCCTTTCTCCCTGCGTGGGGCTTGCCCACCGCACACCCTACACACACCCGGCTGCTTTTGGGCTGCCCCCAAATCCCCCCAGGAGGGCACCTGTGCCATGCAAGTGACAGGAGCAGCCAAACACCTTTGCCCACCCCACTGGCGGCCGCGGACACGCGTGGCTCCAGGCTGGGCGCATCCCCCCCCATCCCGAGGACCCGCGGGTGGTGGTTTTATTTTTTTTTTTTTTAATATTTATTTTTGAGGGGGGGAGGTGTTATTTCCCACGGAGCCCCCCCACACCCACGGCAGAGGGGTGCCCCCCCCCGCCTGCCCTTCCCACGCGTGTCCCCGGCCTCTCACCTGCCGGGAGGAGGAGGAGGAGGGCGAGGAGGAGGCGGCAGCAGCAGCCCATGGTCCCGGCGGCACGGGCAGCCGCGGAGGGAGGGAGGGAGGGAGGGAAGCAGGGCAGGAGGAGGCGGGATGGGGAAGGCACCGCCAGCCCCGCTCCCCGCCCCGCTCCCCGCCCGCAGCAGCCCCGGGAGCGCAGCGGCACCTGCTGGCACCGGGACGGGGCCGGGAACCGGGACGGGAATAGGGTTGGGGTTGGGGTTGGGGCTGGGGGTAGCTCCATCGCCCCCCTCCCCGGCCGGCTGCCCGCACACCCCCCGGCCGGGAGCAGCTCGGGGAGCCCGCTTTATATCCCCTCTGCTTAAGGGGTTCTCCGGCTCTGCTCCCAGCCCTCTCGCATCCTCCGCCGTTGTCCTGGTGTTTTTGGGGTCTGGGAAAAGCTCCCCCGCGGAAAGCCCTTCCTGCTGCGGCAGGCGGGGGGCAGCGAGGCAGATTTTAGCCAGGCGGGGAGCGAGGAAAGGGCTGGTTTTCGGACTCAACGAGGTGAAAGCAGGCAGAAGGGAAAGAGGGCATCGAGGGGGCAAAGGACAAAGCAAGAGCGAGTTTGCTGAGCAGGAAGGGCGGCTGGGTTTGGGGCGTGCTGGAGGTAGCGGTGCACAGAAAGAGGGCGGGTGGGCAGAGCCGGGAGTTGCCCCAAAGTCGGTGTGGGGTCTGCTGCGACACCCGGGAGCGGGGTCTGGGACACCACAAGGGTCAGGACGCGGAGCAGACACGGGCTCCAGCCCTTTTCCCTGCAGGTGGATGGGATTCTCCTCACGGAGCGGGGGCTGCGAGCTGGCACCGGAGGATTTGGGGCGAGCAGGACGCTCTGTGGTGGGCTGCAGCATTGGGGTGACTTCAGCCTCACCCATCCCAGCGTGGCCAGGGGACAACCCACGGCCACCAGGGCCCCACGCGTGGGGTTTTGCCCTCCGGGGCTGCTGCAGGAGCTCGCTCAGCCCCGGCCGGCGGCCAAATGGGGCGGCTGCCAGGGCGCGCATCCATCGCTGCCATCCTGCGGTTTGAGGTCACCGCTCCCTTTCCAGCCCCTCTTTCCTCCGCCCGCAGGGACAGCGGGTGCAGGGGGGGGGGGCACATTTGGGAGGACATTTGGGAGGGTGCGAAGGGTCCCGTCCCGTCTCCACCTTCCCGCAGCCCCCGACCAGGGGGCCGGCGGGGAAACCCTCGCCGATGGGACCCCACCCGTGGGTTTCCACCCGCGGGGGGGAAGAAGAGGAGCAGGAGGAGGAGGAGGAGGAGGAGGAGGGCAGAGGCAATGGGTGGCGGTGCTGGCAGCGGCCGCCCCCGTCCCGCCCCGTCCCGTCCCGCCCCGCCGCGGCCGCCGGGCAGCGGGCACCGGGCAGGCGGAGGCTGCGGCGCCCATGGAAGCGGCGGCGGCCCCGGTGCCGGGCGGCGGCCCCGGTCCCCTGCTGCTCTGCCTGGCCCTCGCCTCCGGTAAGCGGCGGCAGCGGGGCGGCGAGGGGGGGGCCTGTCCCGTTACGGGGCTCGCACGGTCCTGGAGAGGGGTCCCCGCACCCTGAGCCTCCCCCGGGGTGCTCCCGTCCCGCCCCGTGCCCAGCCCGGTGTCCCGCACCTCTGTCCCGGTGCCACCTCTGGTCCCGTCCCCGGTGCCCCGCGGTGTCCCCCTGTCCCCTCCTGGTGCCCCCCGGTTGTGCCTGGCCGTGGGTGAGGGCTGCGCTCGGCTCTGAGCCCCTCGGGACTGAGCGGGGCTCTTCTGTCACCTGCACCGGGACCCAGCCCGCGGGTGGCCTTGGAGATAGTGGACGTGTGGACAGACGTGTGGACAGACGTGTGGATGTGTTTCGCTGTCCCAGACAGCACCCGGGATGGAGGATGCGGGCACAGCGAGCACCTCTCCAACAGGTGCACGCGTTGGCACAGGGACGGGGCACATCTTTGCGCTGTGGGGTGATCTCCTTGAGCACTAAAAGTGCACAAAAGGGGAAGGTCCCACCTCGGAGTGCTCCTTCCCACCCCCGAACGGGAGCAGCTGGGGCTCAGCCCTTTGGTGGGGCTGCTGCCGCGCTCTGCCCAACCCGCACCCACCCGGAGAATGGTGCCCGACCTGTTTTGGGGCTGCGGTGCCCTGCATGGGGTGGATGGAGAGCATCAAACCGGAGCTGCCGATGTGCAGGCTGAGACCCAGCTTCTGGGGCCCCCACGGTGCCACCAGCCCCCGCAGCATCCCCGGTGCCACCACCCCGCGGAGGGGAGGCTGCCGGAGGGAGGCCTCGCGGAGGGCGGCTGCGGCAGCTGTTTGCAATAAGGCCAGGGGCACTGCCCTGCTTGGGGAGCTTCCCGAGCCGAGCCGAGCCGCACGCTCGGGGTGAAGTCAGCCCGCAGCTGGTGCCGGGGGGCCCGCCCTGGCCTCGTCCCTTCTGCTGGAGGCAGCGCAGGCTGAGCCCCGCTCTCTTGGCGCCCGGTGGCTCGAGGCGTGCTGCTGTGGCGGCGGTGCCTATATATAGCCAGGAGGGACGCGGTGCTGGGAAAGGCCCTGCCACCAGCCCGGGGACACGGGAGGCTGCCCACGCTGCCACCCCGCTCGCTGGTTGCCCTGCCAGGCTTGCCCCTCGTGCGGAGGCCGTGCTGGCCTAGCAGGACGTCGCGCCCACCCCAGCTCTTCCCCATGGCATGGGGACGTGCCCCGCTGTGCTGTGAGGCACTGTGCCGTGCCACCCCACGAGAGACACCCGGCCCCGCTGGCAGGACCCGTCCCCAGCTCGGCCCCACGCCGCGGAGCCGTGCTGAGTCAGTGCTGGTATGCCGGCGATCCGGTTACCGCGCCGCTGCCTGCGAACGTCCCAGGGCGGCCGCCCCTTTCCTGGCTGAATCCCCGCAAAGTGCCAAACCCGGGGCGCTCGCCTCGGCTGGGCTCCCTGGCGGGTGTCCCACATCCTGCTGCGGCAGCAGTGTCACAGCGGGGGCTCAGTGTGGTGGCACTTGAAGCCTCCAGGAGGCTCTTCCAAAGGGGCTGCTTGGCTGCTGCATCCATCCCTGCCTGGGGCTCCACCGGCTGCCCCTGTGTCCCCCAAGCCCGTGCCGACAGCACAAAAGGGATGGGGTGGTGGCAGGAGGGTGGCTGGTGGCATGTGGGGCCAGGATGCCACCTGGCCAGGCACCTGCAGACAGGGAGCAGCTTCCCTTCCCTTCCCTTCCCTTCCCTTCCCTTCCCTTCCCTTCCCTTCCCTTCCCTTCCCTTCCCTTCCCTTCCCTTCCCTTCCCTTCCCTTCCCTTCCCTTCCCTTCCCTTCCCTTCCCTTCCCTTCCCTTCCCTTCCCTTCCCTTCCCTTCCCTTCCCTTCCCTTCCCGCCCAGGGAAAAGCTGACGATGATGCTGCTGAGGGAAGGGGGTCCCCTCCCTGTGCCGCTCCCCTGAGCCATGCCTCCTCCTCTCCAGGCCTGGCTCTTTTCAGCTGCGTGGGTGCCGATGCCAATGTGACCGAGGGGCTGCCCTGCGAGGGCTGTGCAGGTAACAGGGGGGCGCCCAGCGGTGTGGGTGTTTTGTCTGGCACACACCCTCTTATCAGCGCCGTGTCCCCGAGCTGGCAGCAGCCAAGGACGCGTGCTGGCAGCCTGCCTGGCTTGGATTCGCCACGGTTTGGGGAGCATCTCGGGGCGCTGCCACCCCCGGGGCCACCCTGTGCTCGTCCCCACAGGTAACGTGACGCAGCTGCGGCGGCGGGGCCACTTCTCGCGGTGCCCCGAGGAGTACCGGCACTACTGCGTCAAGGGCAGGTGCCGCTTCCTCGTGGCCGAGGCAGCGCCAGCATGTGTGTAAGTCCTGGTGGAGAGGGCCCGGTGGCACGGGGGGACGGTGTGAGGTGGTGCCTGGACTCCTACCCTTGTCCCCTGTGCCGCGGGGCAGGTGTGAGCCGGGCTACATGGGGGCGCGGTGCGAGCTGGTGGACATCTTCCCCCTGCGGGGCGACCGGGGCCAGATCGTGGTCATCTCCCTCATCGCCGGCATCATCGTCCTCATCATCTTTGTCGTCTGCACTTGCTTCTGCGTACAGTATGTGGGGATGGGGCGTGGGGACGGGAGGTGTGGGAGTGGTGTTTGAGGGCGCTGGGGCATCGCCACAGGGCTGGGAGCCGTCCGCAGGGGAAGGGGCAACAGTGTGACAGACTCCTTGGTGATGCCTCATCCTGATTATTTTTTTAATTATTATCCCCCCCCCCCCAAAAAAAAAAAAAAAGCCACTGTCGGAAGCAGCGCAGGAAGAGGAAGGAAGAGGAGATGGAGACGCTGAGCAAGAACCTGCCCTCCAAAAGCGAGGACGTGCTGGAGACGGACGTCGCATGAAGGTGTAGGGGGCTGCAGGGGGTCGATGGGGACCTCCCCACCCCCTTTTGGGGGGGCTCTGACAGCTCCCCTGCTCTCCTCTCCCCGCAGCGGCTGCAGGAACCTGCAGGCGGGTCCCAGCGCCGGCTGGAGGGGCGAGGGGTCGCGCTTGTCACGGTGCTAATAAAAGGGTGACCGCACGCCTGTGCCTGTCTGCGTGTTGCAAAGGGGACACACTCCCTACCAGTGACCCCCACTCCACCCCAGCTACCTGTGACCCTGTTAATTACCTGTGACACCCCTTCTCCCACCCCAACACAACCCCATTTTCTGGGAGTTTCAGCTCAAACTCCTCCTTTTAAGTAAAAACCTGCTCCTGCAAGCACAGGGGCCCTGCACATGCGGCCACTTCAGGGTTTGCACCCTGGCTCCTGCCATCCTCCGAGTCCCATCGCTGGCACCAGCTGGACACAGGCAGCTCCTGCAGCCTCTTTGCTGATGGTTCCTCACCAGGGATTTGCTGGTGTCAGCAGTGCCACAGGGCTATGCTTGCTGGCACATGGAAGTGCTCAACCCTGGAGAGGAGCAGGGTCCTGGGGGAGGCTGGTGGGGAGGAGACACATGGTGGGTGCCAGGGACAGCTGCAGGTGGCAGCGGGGCCCTTGGCTCCTGGTGGCTGTGCTGGGTCTGGTCTGGGTGCCACAGTCCCTTTGGTTACCACCTGCCCTGTGCCTCATGGCTCCACTTGTGGCTGGGGACATCCCAGCTCTGCACCTCAGGGAGCGCAGCTCCTGCCCCAACACCTCCAGCTCCAGGTAACTGCAGCCCGTGGCTGTTGAAGCAGCCCAGGCTTTAGGAGAGGTCATAAATCACTTGCTGTTGTAATATGAACATTGGAAGTCACTGCTGTACGCTGTATGGATACTGTCTAACTAGTTTGCAATTACTGATTAGTTAGCCCTGGACTTCTCCAGCTCACTTGCAGCTCCAGCTTGTGGATGTCTCCAGACCTGGAAGTCTCCTGGACATCTCCAGCTCATTGTGTCTCCAGTTTATTTGCACCTCTGGCTCTGTTTTGTCTCCAGCTCATGACAGTGTCCTTGTAAAAACAACCTGGGCTTTAGATAAGGTTGCAAAACATCACCGACAGAACTTGAATGTTAATATTGAATGTCATAGTTGTACATTGCATAGATACTAATTAGTTTGTATGTACTAATTAAATGGCCCTGGACACCTCATACCTCATGGGTATCCCCAGCCCTGGATGCCTCCAGAGACACCTCCTGCTCACGGTGGCGTCGACTCATTCACACCTCCAGCTCGTGACAGCTTATGCTTGTTGTAACAGTCTGGGGTTCAGACAAGGCTGTACATCAATCACTGTCATAACTTCAATGCTGCATGTTGTGGTTGTGCAGCGTGAATTGGAGTATGGGGTAGTTTGTGTTTCTGGATCCCTGCCCCCTGTGTCTGCGATCCACGGATACCTGCAGCCCCCAGTGTCTCCTGCATGTTTCCAGCTCACCACAGCTCATTTCTGACCCCAGGTAATTAAGGCTCATGCTTGTTAAGACAGCCTGGACTTTTCACAAGGTTGTAAATCAATTGCTGTTGCAATTTGAATATTAATACTGAATGTCACTGCTGTGCATTGTATAGATACTGGCTAATTTAGTTTGCATTTATTGACTAATTAGCCCTGGACATCTCCAGCTTGCCGCCTCTCCGGTTCATGCACAGCTGGTAGACGTCTCCAGCGCTTAAAGCTCTGGGTGGTTAGGGCTGGTGCTTGTGAAAGCGATCTGAGCTTCAGACAAGGTCACCAATCAATCATTGTCATAGCTTGAGTATTATTATTGAATGCTGTATAGTTGTGCATTGTAAAAATATTGACTAAATTAGCTTGCATTTATTTATTTATTAGTTCTGGCTGTCTCAAACTCATTATAGCACTTAATTGTTGCCGCGATCTGGGCTTTATACAAGATCATAAATCAATCACTGTCATAACTTGACTATTGCATGCTGTGGTTGTGTGTTTTAATGCATGGACTATTCACTTCGTATTTCTCGCTTCCTTAGCCCCGGGCATCCCCGGCTCCCTCTGCCTGCAGCTCGCGGCTCCCTCCAGCTGCAGTTACCCAAACACCGCACCAGTATCGCACAGCCCAGCCCACCCAGTGCCCACCGGCCCCACACAGCCGCCATGGCCCCGGCTCCATCCCCCGGTCTCCCCCGGTCTCCCCCGGCACCGGGGCACCGTGAGGGAGGAGGGAAGATGGCGGCCGCGGGGCCCCGCCCCGCGCGGGCGCCCTGGGCTGTGGCCGTGTAATGGCGGCGCCGCGCGGGGCCGGTCCCCGCAGGGAACTGAGCCCCGTGGGCTCGGCCCCGGTGGGCTTCACGGGGCTGTCCCTGTCCCTCTGCCTGCTCAGCTTGGCATTGCCCGCCTGCTTGCAGAAGGTGTGCTCAGTCCCGCTGCCCACACTGTTAATAGAGATAACAAACAGCACTTGTCCCAGCACACCCAAGGGACAGCGCTCATCCTTGGTCTCCACCATGACACTGAGCCATGGATGGTGACTCTCTGGATGCAGCCATCCTGCCGCTTCCCTGTCCATTGAATAGTCCATCCGTTAAATTTGTCTCTCTCCAGAGCAGGGATGGTGGGTGGGACTATGCCCAAGATCTCGCAGAAGGACATGTAGGTGACACCAGTAGCTCTTCCCATGTCCACTGGCACGGTGGACTTGATGATGGTGGAGGTCTTTTCCTACCTAGATGATTCTATGATTCTAATCTCCACTCTGCCCTCCATACATTTCCACATGGCTTCCAGGAGGATCCACTCCATGGTGTCATTGGGCAGTCAGCCTCTCTGCCTAGTGGTTTCCAGAGTCCTCTGTTTCATCCTTTTCAACAACACATGTGATGTTCCCCTATTATGGGCTTAGGTCCTTCATCATCCCCTTTCTGTGCCCAGAAGACATGGTTCTGGCTCCCTGCCCTTGTCCCCTGGAGCTGGGACAATGCCCCAGAGCCTACTCCTGCCTCGTGCAGCTCAGTCCATAACTACTATGCACAAGGGAGAAGCTTTCCAGCATCACCGCATTTATTTTCCACTTTAAATCATACCACACTGATTCTACTGATGCATTGCTCTCTGAGCACCTGGCTGAGATTTAGGCAATGTTTAAGACATAAAAAAAATCCCTACTACCAATGCGAATTCATCTGAGCATTTCCTCATGTGATTGGCTTGCAGAGAGGAGGTAGTGCCAAGAGGTGGCAGCTGGCTCCTTTGCCTCAGCTGCCACCAGTCAGTCCCATGTTTCAGCGCATCGTCACCAGCTCCTCTGCTGAAGTAGGATGAATGGCGACCGTGTTGTCAAAGTCGGCCTTGGTGGCTCCCATTTTGATGGCCACGGCGAAGCCCTGCAGCATTTCATCGCAGCCCAGGCCTTGCATGTGCAGCCCCACCACCTTCCAGTAAGAAGCAAGAGGTCAGGCTTGTGGCAAGGACACATGCCACCACCACTGGACACCACCGTGTGGACAGCCAGTGGCGTTCCCAGCAGTGAGGTCCTCACCAGGGGCCCCCACATCCCCCTGGACAAGGACACTCAAGTCCCCCTCCACACACCTTTTCCTCCTTGCCGGCACACACCAGCTTCATCACGCACTTCACCTTCCTCTGGGTGACTGCGTGGTACAAGGGGGTGAAGGACGTGGTGTAGATCTTCACATTGTCCTTCCCATGTGTAGAGATGGCTTCATCTGCCAACAAAAGGCACCGTGCGTTGGTTTCCCCTGCCTGTTTCTCCACACAAGCACTGGAAGTGACTTAAGGCCTCCCAGCAGCTCATCCAACCCTTACCTTCGGTGAGGCCCACGGTCCCGATGGGTGGGTGGCTGAAGACAACAGTGGGGATGTTGCTGTAGTCCAGATGGGCATCCCGCTGGCCCCCAAAGAGCCGGTGCGCCAGCTTCCTCCCGGCCGCGATGGCCACTGTGGAGAGGCACAGGGAGCCTGAGACCTGGCCTGGCTGGAGAACAAGGGGATGGGGGGCACCAGCACGCACCTGGGGTGAGGAGGGCTCTGCCGCAGACATCTCCAACAGCGTAGACTCCCTTCCTGGAGGTGTTCTGGAACTTGTCCACCACCACATGGCCCCGAGCATCCACCTCCACGCCCTGCCAGGAGAACACCATCTGTGTTGGCACTTGGGACCCTGTGGTCCTCACAGCAACCCGAAGGTCTCCTGATGGAGGAACCAAGTCCAGCATGGACGTGCAACACTTTTCACGGTTCCACATGGCTCCGAGAAGCTCTGCCCATGATGCCCAAGGGGAAGGACACATGTTCCCGTCTCACCACACGGTCCAGGCACAGGTCCTTTGAGTTTGGCTCCCGCCCGACGGCCCATAGTAGGCAGTCCACATCCCGGATCACCTCCATCACTGGCTTGTGGCCAGGCGCTGAGGACATCACCGTCACCTCCAGCAAGCCACTGGGGCACTTGGTGACAGCATGGACCTGCGGAAGCAACCCGAGGCCGTGGTGAGAAGGTGCTGAGAGGTTCAGCGAGCAGACACCCTCGCTTGGGGTGCTGCCCTGCTGGCCCGCATGTCCCCAGCAAGTGTCCATACCCGTGAGTGCTTCCAGACATCGACCCCGGTGTTCTCCAGCTCCTGCGTGCAGTTTGTGCTGACCAGCGAGTCAAACATCCTCAGGACCTGGGCAGGGACCACACAGCCCTCTGAGAGGATGGACCGCATGCTGGGGCACTGCCCGACAGCCCCCTCCGCCCACATCCCCCTTCTGCCTGCACTCTTGCCTCACTCAGCCACAGAAAAGTGATGCTTCCGCTTGATAACAAAGCTCTCCTTTGTTTACTTTTTTTTTTTTAATATCGTAATTATCTTTCTTTCTTCAGGCCATGACTCAGCACGAGGCTCGGGGAAGCAGGTGCCCTGGCATGCACTGCTGCAGAAACTCTCTGCACGCACTGTGGCTGCCGGGATGGGCTCGGCAGCACGCCTCCGCTCTGCCTCCTGCCCCGAGCCTTCCTGGCTGCCCCACCGCAGATCTGCGGCTGGCCAGGATGCAGCAACGATGGGAGGCACCGTGGGGCTGGCCAGCAGCGGTACCTTATCCCGACGGATCAGCAAGGAGGACTTGGATCCCAGCGTGGAAAGG